GCGCCACTGCGGAGTCGCTAGTTTCGTGAAACCTACTTGTAGTTATCGTATGTAATATGTATAGATATATAAAATGTATATATCTGTGATCGAATGATACCTTGTTTTATCAACGTTAAAATACTTTCGCTGATTATAAATATTTGCTACTGATAATGTGGTTGTTGTATTATACGTGTAATATTATCTTACGTAAAAATGTTTTAATTTAAATAATATTTTTTATTATATTAAAATATTCAATAATGTGATATCCTAAAACGTATATGAAGGGTGGAAATGCAAAAGGTGGTATTGCCAAAAATTCGAAAATCGAGTTAGACATCGATTCTGAATGGAAAAAATGCGGTAATATCGAATTTGCGGTCAAAATTAAACAATATCGATTATTTCTATGAGTAAAATCGATTGAAAAACAGCTGTTCAGTGCATAAGGTGTTATTACCACATTTTGAGCCATATCAAAATGTGGTATTGCCAAGTTTATGCCAAAACGTGTTATTGCCTACGCTTTATGTATTGGAACTAACTTCTCATCAGTGCAAAACGTGATATTACCATTTACATTATGTTAAATACAACTTTACAATCAGCTACAGTAATTTTAGTTTTTTAAACTATTTTAAGAGATTATAATAAAGGCGGGTTTCCACTATACACGTTCACGTGTGCGTGCACAAATGACAAATAAATGTTCGATTCGAACGGTCTTCAAAACGTTTCACACTGGTTACTTTGGTAACTATGGTTTTATTATATATGGTTCTTGATAACGGTACACAAAGGATATCCCGCCTTTTTTAAAAAATTTAAATACATAATACATATTATTATAATTTAATTATGATTTGTGCTAATATTTTATTCTTAAATTTTTTTAAAGTTTTAAACGCATTTTGTTTTTATTTTACTGTCAACTCTGTTTCATTTGTTAAATTTTAAAAATATGATGGAAAATCAAGAACTTCAATGGTATAATTATTTTATTAAGATTCATCGAAGAAATGTGTTGCTTGTATATTTAGCCATTTCACACAAAAAAAAAAAAAAAATCAAAGGTTATATAATCTTTTATTTCTATACCTACATATTGTTCTTTAATGTTAAATTATGATTTACTAGATCAAAATCCAAATGGCATGTTCAACCTTTTTTAAAAGAAAGAATAGTACACGGACATTATCATTGTTTAACTAGTGAACTTCAATTGACAAATTCTGAACAGTACCAAAACTTTATTAGAATGTCTGCCAGCACATTTGAAGAGTTGGTGTGTCTAGTTGGACCCAAAATAAAGCGTTTCCCAAGTCGGCCTGATATAATATCAGTTGGAGAAATCCTAACTGCAACATTGCGGTAATATACCTACCATAATAATAATTCATTACTATATTTATTTAGTAAATTATTATATTAAGTACAATAATGTGTGACTATTACAGATATCTTGCGTCTGGGGAATCAATGATGTCGATTACATACGATTTTCGTATAGGAAAAGCTACCGTATCAAAATTAATTTTACAATGTTGTGAAGTTTTATGGGATACATTAAACCAAAAAGTATGTTGTATTCTGGTTATACACTATGCATGTACAAAGCTGTAACTAGTTAGAAAGTTACTTTTTTAATTTGATTCATATTAACTTTGTAACTTAACTAGTTGAATTTAATGTACTTGATGATTAATTTATGTAATACATAACATTTAAAAAAATTGTGTTTTTAATTTATATTTTGAACTAATATAAAAACTTACTTCTAACTTCTAGTCTAACTTAAGTTAGTATTTTCACCCAACTAACTTCTATCTAATTAAGGGTATCCGGTGAATTGGTCGCGAACAATTGATCGCCGGTGAATTGGTCGCCGGTGAACTGATCGCGGGTGAATTTATCGTGGATATAATTGGTCGCTAGGATAATTGATCGCCAAACGAACAATTTTAGTTTTTTAATTATTTTATTATAATATTAAGTATATTTCTGAGTTTTATGCTTTTAAAGTTTCTCACAGTTAATTAAATTTAAAATTATAATAAATAAATAAATAATAATAATAATACAAATAAAATAATAATAATAATAATAATAATAATAATATTAATAATTATACATTTTAATTTATTTAAAGTTGCAGTTGAAAATTATGTGCTATTCCTTTTAAAAAGTCTAATTTACTCCTAGTATGATAGTCGTCACATATTTTTATAATTTTTTCTGCATGGTCTTTGTACTTCCGTTTAACACCTATCGTCATTCCTGCAATTAGTTGTTCTGTCTGTAACTTGATAAGGCTCTCCTCCTTTTTGAACGAATCTATACATTTCCATATAGTTGGATGACATGCGTTCAGACTAGATGCAAATCCATTATGCCACCCTTCAACAGAATTGTTGGTCCGGGGGATATTTTCGAAAATATATTTAAAACAGTTCCACAGCGTCACTGGAAATAATGCTGGTTTCCTTCGATTTCTTCGATCAAGACGTCCAATCCACGTATCTTCAAAATAATTTGTTAAAGGTGTTAGTATTTCTTCGTTCAGTGAATAAAATTCTGAGTCCAGTAGTTCATTCCAAGCATTTTCTACATCCTCTTCTGGTACAAAACTAAGTGCTGCCATCATCCTAATTTGCAAAGCAAATTCCGAGTCTTCCATGTACCTTTTTTGGAATCCTAAATTTTGCAAGCGTCTCCAAATGCTTTGCGATAGATGAAAAAAGCACCCACGAACTGATGTGTTGGTAAAAACACTTTGAATCGCATTAATCGCAGCTTTTTCAAAATCAACCATAATTGATTTTGGATTTAATGATTCGTTCAATGTTTTTAATGCGTTGTAGAAATTAACATATGTGGTTTCCGTTTTATTTGGTAGCAATGCAAATATTGATGGAAAAACATTATTAAATTGAATTCCGTGAACAGTGTAAATTTGGTAAAATAAATTTGGTGACGTAGAAAAAGTGCCATCAGCAAACCAGTGTTCACATTTTTGTAGAAGTTGTAGGTTTTTTTGGGTGGAGAAAATTAAAATTCTATTTTCTACAGGACCACTGTCGAACAATAAAAAAGGTTTTCCGTCAAATGTTGTTCTATAATCGTCTGGTATGATCAATTCTAATAAAGTTTTTGGATTTGGTGGAGCAGCTTGTTCTTTTTGTCGAATACGCCGTACTGTTCTCTTTAAGACAGACAATGATGGCATTTGCCCTGCAGCAGCACTTGTCAACTATCCAATTTAAAAAAAAAACATACATTTTTAATTTAATTATGTAGATATATTTTATAGTATTTTTTAGGTATTTATATTTTAGGTATTTTATGGTATTTTATATTATAGTTATAGGTTCACATTTAATATTTGTTATTATCGCTATACAAAAATACACACTTTATACAGGTCGGTCGGTGTAGCGTACGAAGCAGTTAGGTGACCGGGCGCACGTATTTTCCTTTTTTAGTTCATTTTCCGGTATTTTTAATAAATTAAGTTCCGATAATTCACATATTTTAACTTTGTTTCAATCAACATTTTAATTTTTTTTTTATTAAATAAACACATTTTTATGCATGTAAAAACTAATGTACTAATGTATAATATCCTATACTATCTGCAATATAAATATAAAAATTAAATTAAAAACCATTTTAAGTGCATTTTATATTGCATTTTTTGCATTTTAAATTTGAACTTTAAACACTTATAAAAAAAATCTTATGTTAAAATATACAATAGATACTGAGAAGGATTTATTTAATATTAACTTACAGATGTCGAAGCTGAGCTAATTACAGCGCGAGTACTCAAATCCACATTTTGCGTAGCCATATTTTTGATCAAATTAACGGCTTTGGCAGCTTCAATATTTCCACAATCTTGTACATGATTGTGTTGTATTTCTTTAAGTATTTCATTATTAAGAGAATGAATGCGACCTTTACATTTCATTTTTTATATTGATCACATTTCCATATTGACTTTTCTTCGGTTCCAAATTTTTCAAAAGTATACATATAACCGTTATAAATTAATTTATCTTTGCCTTTTTCACTCTTTATGAACTCCATTATTATAAAATAAAAAAACAGTAAACACACACAATAACGTACTAGATGGACTAACAAATGCAAGTATGTAATGACAAATTGGTACGACCATCGGAATATAGATGACGATAAATCGATAACGGTCGTATAAGCTTATCTATGTTATTGCCACGCTAGTTCAATTATCTCGTGTGTACATCATATAATAGTATTTAAGATTATTATATCTGTTAATCCCATTGTAAATTGGATTTACTGTACGTTATTTAAAAATAAATAAGAGTATTTGAATCTTCTAAAATAATAAACATAAAACTAGGATGTGTATATAATATATATTAAATATTAACTATGTAATAAGTATAATAAAATAATTAAAAAACTAAAATTGTTCGTTTGACGATTAATTATCCTAGCGACCAATTATATTCACGATAAATTCACCCGCGATCAATTCACCGGCGACCAATTCACCGGCGATCAATTGTTCGCGACCAATTCACCGCTATCCCTAATTAAGTTATACATTTGATAAATTTTAGAAAGAATCTTATATCCTAACTTAGTTACTTTTTATATTAAAGTAACTTAACTTTAACTGAAAAAAGTGACTAATTTGCCCAGCTTTGTGTATGTGATCAATATATATAGTGAATTATAGCCATTATTTTTATAACTTCCAATGATAGGTATTAGTTGTACCAGATACATTTAAATGGGCTCAATTAGCGGTTGACTTCGAGAGAATATGGCAAGTGCCAAATTGTATTGGCAGCATCGACGGTAAACATATTATACACCAGGTAATAATAATTATTAACTTTTTAATAGTATTTATTTAAATGAATAAAAATTACTTAATTATTTTAATAATTGTATATACATTTGCTAACAGTGGATCTGAGCACTATAACTACAAAGGGTCCCATAGTATTATACTGTTGGCAATGTGTGACGCCAATTATAATTTTACGTTAGTCGATATTGGTGCAGCTGGGAGATGCAGCGATGGTGGAGTTTTTTCAAACTCTGAAATGGGCAAGGGTTTCATATACAATAATTTAAATTTTCCAGCTGATATAGAAATACATGAAAACAGTGGTCCAATTCCATATTATGCACTAGGGGATGAAGCGTTTCCATTACTTTCAAACCTTATGCGTCCTTATCCAGGAAGAGGTAAACGAAAACTACCATTAAAGGAATCCATTTTTAACTATAGGTTTGTCTCAAGAATTAAATAATTAAATATTCTAATGATTGTAAACAAAACATTTTTTATACAGGCTTTCCAGAGGTAGACGGACTATAGAAAACACTTTTGGGTTAATGGCCTCAAAATGGCGGATTTTTAGAAAACCGATAATTGCTGGACATAAAACTGTTAATGCAATTACAAAAGCTGCTGTTGTACTGCATAACTTTGTAAAACTGTCTGAAAACAATACTGGTACTTATAATAAAAAAATATTTAATACTATTTGATTATTTTTTAACCTGAATGTATCCTAGGTGTACGGTATTATAGTGGAACTTTAGGCACCGAACAAAGCAATCAGTGGGAACCACAGGCAGCTTTAGAACCAGTCCACCGATTAGGAACTAATACATACACAGCAGACGCTAAAGCAATAAGAGACAAACTTAAAGACTATTTTTCAGCTGAAGGTGCGACTTTATTCCAATATGAAAGATTAATTAATTTATAACTATTTGAACCATAAATTTATTAAACTATTTATTGTAAAATAAAAACAAAAACATAAACATATTAACTTCAAAATTGAATTTGTAGAATTTTAAGTATGAGAAAAATTACAAAACAAATAATAATCATACAGCCTTCACTTTTATCCTGATTAGTTAAATATAACAAAAACAAAACTACAAAATTGAATTAATTGTAGAATATTCAATAAAAAAAATAATAATTATACAGTCTCTTCCTGATAAATTAAATATTTAAATATAGCACAATTGATAAACATTATAAAATAAAAACATAACTACAAAATTGAATTTGTAGAACTTCCCAGTATAGGAAAAATTACAAAACAAATAATAATCATACAGTCTTTACTTTTTTCTGATTAGTTAAATATAACAAAAACAAAACTACAAAATTGAATTAATTGTAGAATATTCAATAAAAAAAATAATACTTATACAGTCTCTTCCTGATAGATTGAATACTTAAATATAGCACAATTGATAAACATTATAAAATAAAAACAAAACTACAAAATTGAATTTGTTTAACTTCCCAGTACAATACAAATTATATAAAAATAATAATAACAAATACTTAGTAGGTATAGGCATTAAACAATTAAACAACATTTTCAGTCTTCCAAACAATTAATTACCTGGCAAATGAGATTTGATTGCAAAGCTATTTTTTTTTTTTTTTGGAATATTCTTCATCAGTGAGGCTAAGTATTTACAATAATGTAAGTCCCCGTCTTCTTCGATGGAGCAATCGGTAGATGGAGCAACAGGTCTGGACTCACGTAATTCTTTCAAAATCAAATCTTCAAAAGTGTCAGACTTTGATCCTAAACACAAATATTAATCAGAACTACATAAAATAACAAAATAAGTTGACAATTTAAGATTTAAAATTCATAGTTAGTAATTGTTATAATATGCAAATAAATATATATAAGTATTAATTACTTTTAGTAGATTTAGTGCTCTGTCCATTGAAGTCTTCTTTGTCTACATGTGAGATATTCTCGGTCAATGATGGAATGTTGCTTGTAGTTCTAAAAAAAAAAATTTAGTTATTCACATTTGACAATTAGTACCTAAAATTACATTTGTTATTCAAAAAAAAAAATAGTTTTCCCTTTTAATATTCATTATTATATTATCTTACTTATAATTGCTAGTAATAACATCATTTAAAAAATGCAATGACTGCATGTGGCACCAAATTTTTTTTTTCCCTCCTGCAGCACCACTTGCTGGTTTTTTTTTTCCCTGACATACTTCTCCCTCAAGTATTTCCATTTTTTCTTTACAATTTCTATTGGATATATACCTGGATATATTCAATAATCAAATCAAAATTATAATGAAGTATTAGATTATAGATTGTAGATGAATTAAAACTAACCATTCAGTGCAACATAAATCTCATTCCAAAGCATTTGTTTTATCGGCTCATAACGATCTGCCATAGGAAGCCGATGATCCCATAATGGATTACGTTCATTTATCGCACTAATGAGATTTGTATAAAATTCATTATCGTCATCATCATTGTTCTCTGAGAGGCTTGAAGTATTGCTGTGTTCTTCGTGTTCAAATTCAGCCATAATGTTAGATATTAATGATGGTTTGGAAGACTTAGGGTATGATGATTCACTTGGAGCTGCAACACTTACAGCTTTGGGTTGAATTTTTTGGAATGTATACTGTGTGCGCTGATCTAAAAATATATAATATTAATTAGTATAGAATATTCTATTTAAATTGAAAGGATGTCACACCGCTATGTGTTTCTTCCTGTTCAATTTGAGCCATAATGTTAGATATAAATGATGGTTTTGAAGACTTAGGGTATGATGATTCACTTGGAGCTGCAACACTTACAGCTTTGGGTTGAATTTTTTGGAATGTATACTGTGTGCGCTGATCTAAAAATATATAATATTAATTGGTATAGAATATTCTATTTAAATTGAAAGGATGCCACACCGCTATGTTTTTCTTCCTGTTCAATTTGAGCCATAATGTTAGATATTAATGATGGTTTTGAAGACTTAGGGTATGATGATTCACTTGGAGCTGCAACACTTACAGCTTTGGGTTGAATTTTTTGGAATGTATACTGTGTGCGCTGATCTAAAAATATATAATATTAATTGGTATAGAATACTCTATTTAAATTGAAAGGATGCCACACCGCCATGTTTTAAGTCGTCTTATAAACGTGAAACATACCAAATTTTAAGTTTTAAATTGTATAAGGGATTAATTCACTCTAATTTTAAAAACAAAAGGGTAAAATGTGTTTTTGTAAACGTACAATTTGCTATTGTGATAAGACATGTATGTCTTCATAAAAACAATAAAAGAATAAAAATCCGGTTCCATTATATTATATATTTATAATTTTTAGTTACTTTCTGAACATTTGTGATTTTTCTCGTTCAAATCCATTAAGTAATTACATTTACTGCATAGAATTCCCTAAAACATTAAACATTGCACTTAAGTCTTATACTATAAAATCAAATTATAAAATACATAAATTAAATCTATATATATAAAATAAATGTATGTCAGTGTGTCAGTGTGTCTGTGTGTCTGTGTGTCCATGTTACCATGGTTACCAAGGTTGCCATGGTTACTAAGGTTACCAAGATTTCATATCAATATATATATATAAAAATGAATGTATGTCAGTGTGTGTGGGTGTGTGTGTGTGTGTCCATATTACCATGGCAACCATATCTGTATATAAAAAACAGTAAGCTGATTGACTGCTATCAACGCACAGCTCAAACCATTGGACGGATCTGGCTGAAATTTGGCATACAGATAGCTATTATAATATAGACGTGCGCTAAGAAAGGATTTGCCAAAATTCGCATTTTAAATAGGTGCTGTAACAGGGACATTGAGATTCACGATAGAAATTGGAAATTTTATTTTTATTTATTTATAGTTGCCATTGGTTACAGTCCACATTAGAAATTAGCATTTATTTATTGGTTGCCATTGGTTATTCCGGCAGATCAGGTACAAGCTTGCATCAAATCGAATTATTGAACAATGCTTACCAGGGTGGCAGAGTTGCACTTACCGCAGAAAATTACACCCAAAAGGAGTTCAACAATCATAATTTTTTTAAGAGTTGCGATTTTTTACGAGCAACCAAATTTATTATATTAATCCACAGTATTACATCAAAATAAACTTGGTATAACTTTGATACTTTAGAGTTAAATCATACACTTCCGTACAAACAGCACGGGGTCCGCGATCTACCGCAGGTAGATTGCCTACCTGATAATGTACTGCTGCGATTCAGAATTTTTATTCAGGGCAACGGGAAAGATAAGATAAATTTTGAACACCATACACCGAATATTGAATAATGAATTGAACAAAGTTTGAGTAGGTAGTATTGAGTTGATCCATTTAACGGGCGACGAAGTGCACGGGATCAGCTAGTAATATAAATAAAAATACAATGGCTAAACTATCAATTAAATGATACATAACATCACAGTTATTGGAACAGCAGTTGCACACAGACTGGTCATATTATTTGATGAGGAATGGTGGCTATTTATCAGTCTCAAATAACAAAGTAATAGTATTTTGGGGTCTAATTATAAATAAAGTAAAAACTAAAAGTAAATTCAATAGAGTTACAAATTGTTACTTTTTTTAAAAATAAATTACAAAATCAGTCCATAACGACTAATAAGTAGTAGGTATACCATTAATCTATATATATAAAAATGAATGTATGTCAGTGTGTCAGTGTGTCTGTGTGTCTGTGTGTCCATGTTACCATGGTTACCAAGGTTGCCATGGTTACTAAGGTTACCAAGATTTCATATCAATATATATATATAAAAATGAATGTATGTCAGTGTGTGTGGGTGTGTGTGTGTGTGTCCATATTACCATGGCAACCATATCTGTATATAAAAAACAGTAAGCTGATTGACTGCTATCAACGCACAGCTCAAACCATTGGACGGATCTGGCTGAAATTTGGCATACAGATAGCTATTATAATATAGACGTGCGCTAAGAAAGGATTTGCCAAAATTCGCATTTTAAATAGGTGCTGAAACAGGGACATTGAGATTCACGATAGAAATTGGAAATTTTATTTTTATTTATTTATAGTTGCCATTGGTTACAGTCTACATTAGAAATTAGCATTTATTTATTGGTTGCCATTGGTTATTCCGGCAGATCAGGTACAAGCTTGCATCAAATCGAATTATTGAACAATGCTTACCAGGGTGGCAGAGTTGCACTTACCGCAGAAAATTACACCTAAAAGGAGTTCAACAATCATAATTTTTTTAAGAGTTGCGATTTTTTACGAGCAACCAAATTTATTATATTAATCCACAGTATTACATCAAAATAAACTTGGTATAACTTTGATACTTTAGAGTTAAATCATACACTTCCGTACAAACAGCACGGGGTCCGCGATCTACCGCAGGTAAATTGCCTACCTGATAATGTACTGCCGCGATTCAGAATTTTTATTCAGGGCAACGGGAAAGATAAGATAAATTTTGAACACCATACACGTTAATGAATTGAACAAAGTTTGAGTAGGTAGTATTGAGTTGATCCATTTAACGGGCGACGAAGTGCACGGGATCAGCTAGTTATTATATAAATTGTATATTAGTGTAATAGGTATAAACATTGATGATGTAGGTACATTGTTGAAGACTTAATGTTATACATGATCAAAATGTATAAGTATTATAATATAATATTCCTAGCAAAACCTCCGTCAGTAATGTATGATCAACGCGATCAAATGCTTTTGTAAAATCCATGTATTATGTTTATAACACCAACCTGAGAATGATTATTAAATGCATCAAATATATAATTGAAAAAGACAAGTTACAAGTGTAAGTTGATCGGCCAGGACAGAAACCATGCTGTTCATCAAATTAGGATTGAATTGACGGCAGGTCAATTGATGTAATTGATTTCAAGACTAGTGAATCAAATAATTTAGCTATATTATATGACTTAATAAGGATATTGGACGATAGTTGGCAACATTACACTTATTCCATGAATTATAAATAGGTTTAACAGTCCTAAGCTATAAAATATTAGGATAGACACCTTCATCTAAGGATTTACGAAATAAAAGTGACAGTTGGTAGGATATTACTCAGTTATATAGCTCAATTTAGATAAACCAGATTCAATATGAGATATATAAAAAAAGCAATTACTAAGTAAATCATAAAATAAATGTGGAATACTTGAATTATTAATAACACTGTGGTCAGTGTAGACAGACCTAAACTACTTTGCGAATAAATGAAACTTCTTGATCATTAGAACTAATTAGCTAAAAAAGTAGTTAAGTAAAAATAAAAGGTACTTACTAAAACTTTAGACGATTCCATATTTGGGATATTTCTATTAAAGATTGACGTCGAATTTGAAGATTCCATTGATATCTGAGCGACAGGCAGTATTGTGTACCGTGTACACGAAAAATGTTGAGCTATGTTCAACAATACGGTAACATGGTTAATCGTGTGGTAAGAACGTATAAACACATTGGTATACCATACGGTTACCACGGGTACCAACCAATCACAGCAAAGTATTTTTATGCACGTATACGTGTACGTGTATAGTGGAAACCCGCCTTAAGTAATTTCATAATATTATGATAATATAAAAAATTTTATAATATTAGAAAACAATTTAATATAATTGTATTAATGTGTAGTAGGTATGTGATAAGGATAACTGATTACAAGTCTGGTTTAATGATCAAATTTTCATGATTACACAACACACAATTATTTTTCATATTTTGTTTTTACATATTATATTTTGCTGTTTTAAGTTTTATTTTATTATTAAAAATATGAATAGAACAATTAAAATATTAAAAGCTGCTCAAGAAGTAAGTACCTATAAGCTAGATACAATAATAATAAATTATAAGTAATATAATGTTCCTGTTAAGTGAGATACTTTACTCAAACTATGTGTCTTTATTTAATAATGTAAACCCAGCATACAGTTTTTTTCTTAATGAAGGTACCTATTCATATTTATTTTATCATTTCATTTAATATTTTCTTTTAGAAAAATGTCTACAGACAACTTCAGTATGATAAGCCCAGTACTACTACAGTTAGTCAAATGGTTAAAAACAACAGTGAGGTATAATACTAAGATATTAATTTTATTAAACTATATACCTTATGTAAATACATTTGAATATACCCTTATATTTAATATACCTAGGATAATCACTTCAATAATATAACTATTAATATACTTACTTTAACATCTTATTAATTAATACTCTTTTAGAAAAATGTATACAGACAACTTGAGTATGATAAACCCAGTACTACTGTTAGTCAAATGATTATAAACAACAGTGAGGTAAAATACTAAAATACTAGTTATAGTTATAGGTAGTTAAAGTACTAGTTATATTTATAAATCTATTTTTCATTAATAAATAGGAAAAAGTAAGAGCTTGGTTAACTTCTGAACAAAATCTTCATAATTCTATGGAACAGGACAATGTAAGAATTCTTTTAATAATAATTATTTTGGAATATATTGGCTATGAAAATTGTTTAGGAACTTAACATATTAGATTTAAATGATGCAGATATTGTAATGTTGGATTCTTCTCCTGAAAAATTTCATGAATCTGCTTACAATCCTGATGTTTTGATAGAAGTTCCTTACAATATAGTTATCCAGGATATTGAAAATGTTGATCAGATCCCAGTTTTTAGTACCAATAATTCAGTTATAGAAAAATCCCTTCAAAAAGTAGGTATTAATTATGATGAACCCCTGGTAGAACCTGTTAGTGTGGAGTCAACACCAGAAAAAATGTCAATGCTTAGTTCTAATCCAGAGTATCAAGAACCCGTTAAAACAGTGTTAAATGGTAGGAAACAAACAAAGACTAACAAAAGAAAAGAAAAACAAATGATAAAAAACTGTATAACTTCAAAT